TCAAATGGAAGCCAAAAGAAGGGAAGCAATTTAATGATCACACTCAACAGCAGGACACAGAATTTCAAAGAACAATCCCAAAAAGCAACATCAGTTTACATAGAAGCAAACAAAATCTGTCCGAGAATGATGGATGTGATACTGAGTCTGCTAAACCCTGCCAGGTAGGTGCAGTATCGGGCCCTCTCCTCGAAGGAGCCCAAATCTACGTGTGGAGCCCTCCCGGAGAAGAGTGCAGAGAGAAAATACTACTGGCCAAAACTAAGAAATGCTACAGACAAGCTCTGAACATTCCCTGTGTAGGTTTCCAAGACCTCATTGTGAGGAAAAAACAAGGCTCCACTTCCTCCCCAAACAAGCATGTCGTAAGAGTCAACTAACTGGGGGCTTCCCTCAAAGTCAAAGTGCATCTGCCTGAGAGGCAAGGAACCAACAATCTGCACAACAAATAAATCAGATGTGCAGGCAAAACACAGGTTGTGGAACAAGGCTAAAGTCCAGAGGTGGGTGAACAAAGAGAACTTTCCTCTGGAGTTTACCGCCGGTGAACAAGAGGAAGAAACTCTTTACATGCAGTAAAAAGATTCCAGGTTTTGGCCGGTTGGCATTCCAATGGAAACTCAGCTGTCTGGAACATTGACCATCATCGTACCAGATTTCATTGAGATCTGTGGCCTTCTCATCTGAAACCCAAGGGCAGGGAGAGGGAAAAGAAGAAAGACCATTTAAAACAGAACCAAATGTAGAAATATATATAACCCTCAACAGCACCCTGGTGGCGATATACCAAAGGGGTGACACAAAATGAGATTTGTCTTACACTTTTTGGCTGCAGATCCCGCAAGCAATAAGTAAAGAGGGTTAGTGAAGATACCTATTTGCACAACAGTCATATATTGCCAGACTCATAGACTAATCAGCACTCGATGGGTAATGTCACCACATCACGCCAGCCGCCTTTACTTCCCAGGACATTATTTACCAACCATTTTATATTGGGTCGACCTGGGAGCCAAGTTTTTTTTTTTTTTCTAATCGGACTTATTGCAGATTTGAAGCAAGTCTGATTCTCAGACAGTACTGCCAAAGAAATCAAATGGAGAAATGTGGCATAAGCAAATATCTACAATACAGGGAATCACATGGATATACTTATCACAGACATCAAAAGGAGACAGTCATCATTTTTCGGCCATGTTATGAGAAGAGGGAAAATAGAACATGTTGTGACCACTGGAAAGATCTGTGGAAAAAGGGATAGAGGAAGATAACGAGAGAAGATGCTTGACAGTCTGGTTGTATGGCATGGAGGTGTGTCAGCACACGAACTGATACATGCTGCAGGAGATCACAGATTATGGAGAGGCATGATCGCCCACGCCAGTCGGCAAGGCACCTGATGATGATGATACTATCTGGGATTTGCAGGAGTGTCAGTGAATGAAAAAGCTCATATTTTTGGCCACAACAGCGACGGGGGAGAAGACCACTTGTGAACAAATGCTGATAGAAGACATGAGGCTTGAAAGAACTTTTGGAAGAATGTGTGAATGGGGTATTTGAAGTCGATCGGTAAGAAGAGACTTTTGAGATGAAGAGAAGAATGTATGAAAGGAAGAGAACAATTTGTGTATAATCAGTGCGCTATGGGTACACTTAGAGTCTACACCGTAAGACATCTGCTGTGGGCAACGGAGTATCTGTAGGTATGCCCTGTGTGCTATGATGCAGGTAATTAGTTACAATGGCTCACTGCAAGCAACTGATTGACTGACTGACTGGCACCTTTCTGTTTCTCTAGACGAAAGAGTTATACTGCACAGTGAGGAGGCATGGAATTTACAGCCCAGGGCAACTAGCAAGAACTGCCTACGTTGAAAAAAGCCTTTCACAGTTATAGCATGGGATTTCAGAACCACTGTTGTCAACATTTGTGTTAAGCGCGTTTCTTCTCACACGCTCAGCTCTCATCCTTTTTGCAATCCTTTCTCTGCAAGCAATTAACCACACAGCAAAAAACAAACAACAAATACTGTTTTCCTACAAAAAGATATAATATTATTAATCTGTGATTTATCCAAGAGGTATATCAAGAATGCCGTGACATATTCAAGCTTAACATAAAATACAAATGAAAATGTTAACAAAAATGGAAACTTACATATATTAAAATAATTCATACTAAAAAACAAGCTGCTAGAAAAAATTATTGATAATTACATTACATATAATATTAAGTGAATTACTTTGCCTCTCTGCTGTAAATTGCTTACTGTGGATTACTTTGTGTTTTCACTGTAAATTACTCACAATGTATTTCATCATCATCTTTTGTGTGCCATTAGACACCATATAGGGCTCACATTTTTTTCCTCCACTCTGCTATATTGCATGCAACTTTCTTTATTTCTGACACAGAGTTCAGCCCAGCATATTTTTTTTACCTCGTAATAATGTTCTTTTTAATGTTTCCCTTGGTTGTACCCTTTTTTCTTAGAATGTTTCCCATTTCACCGACTGTTTTGTAATTCTTTACTCATTTCATCACAGAGGGTGTCCAATAAATCTCCACCTTCTTTGTCTTTTGGCAGTCGATACAGGTATTTGTCCAACATTTCTCCATCTCCTCAGAATATAATATTTGTGCCTATTTCTTGATAGTTACTGAGTTATTCTTTGCTTTTTGTGTTGTAAACCGCTCAAAATGAATCACCTTGCTTCTGTGATGTGAACTGCTCACAATAAATTGCTCTGCTTATTTATTGGAAATTGCTCATTGTGAATCGAATTGCTCCTTTGCTGCAAACCGATTAAGCATACTGAATTCCTTCGCTTCTTTATTGTAAACTACCCACAGAATATTATTTTTACTAATGTCTTGCACATTTTCTATGGTGTAATACTTTCCTTCTTTCACATAAACTGCCCACAAAAAGTCACTTGGCTTTTGTTGTAAATTGCTCACAGTTAATTACCTGCTACTGTTGTAAATGTCTCATTCTGGAGTAGTAATTACTATCTAAATTGATGACAAGAAATGAACTAAAAAAAACATCATTACAAAAATAAAAATAAAAATATTACAACTGTCAAAAAAATTATTAAATAACCTAATAGCCTTATTTGTGTAAATTGGGCCAATTGAGCATAATGTAATGCCATTTAAAAAAAAAAAATCAGAACTATAAAAATCATCTTCATCACCATCAGCGAGGTCCGTGGCTTAGGCTTTGGGAGTCCAACGTGTAATTCCTACTTACCGCGATCGAAACCCACTGCCGGCTGGATGGATATTTATCATGATATGGGGCGTCGCAGGTCGACCCAGCCTTAAATGGGTACCAGGATGTATGCCCTGGGGAAGTAAAGATGGCCGCATAATGCTGACCCTATTACCCAATGCTGATTGGTCAGTAAAATATGGGTGCTCTTCCCATACACCAAATGCACCTAAAGGGGTGAAAAGGGATATTTAATTACTTATCATCATCACCATCATGTGCCTGGCGAGCTGGCGTGGGCAATCATGTTTCTCCATATCATGTGATCTCCAACAGCCTGTATTAGGGTACGTGTTGACACCTCTCAATGCCATGACAAAAGGCTTGTCATGAATCGTCTTATCTTCGTCCCTCTTTCTTTTCAAAAATCTTTCCAACTGTCACAACACTGTTTCAGTTTTCCCCGCCTGCTTTCTGGTTTTCCAACTAGCAGTACGCTATTTATGAGATCATTATGCATTTCAACATGGTCAAAATATTTCTTTTTAATATTTTTAGTAGCCGTAGCCACCGTGGTGAAGCAGATAAATGCTCGCCTGCTGGTGCTAAGGTTATGGGTTCAAATTCCGCATCAAGCTGGACTTTTTCAAACATGACCTCAGATCGCAGGTCAGGCCAGCATCAAATGGGTGCCAGGTAAAGTTCTGGTTAGTAAAGGCGGCCATCGTAATTTTGAACACGTCACCCACTGTGTGCCGATTGGTCTAAATAAATGTCCAGCATTATACATCCAATATACCCAAGGACATGGGAAATGGTTCTTTTAATATTTTCACCAGCTCTATTTTCTCTCCCAGTCTCTTAAAAACATCTCAAGTTGATTTGTATTTTTTCCATAAAATGTAGCCTACTTTTCTGTTTATCCCCATCTCCAAAAGTATACACATACATTACATGACCTGGGACTAAAGCCTGGTCAAGCCGGTCTGTGAGGTCAAGACAGGAAGCTTTTCGACATATTTCAACTGTCAGTAAAGGCATCATGGGATGGTTGCTGCACCCAAAGAGTGAGCACACTTGGGAACGCCTAATGTGCAGTTACGTCAACTGTGATAAGATTTCTTCTGCCCTCTACCCCTCCAAGGAGCACAGACCCTCAGTCAACTCACGCCAAGTCACTTCATCTTTTACTATCGCATGCAGCTGTCCATCTTTGTCAACTGACTCTAATTCCCTGCTCCAGGTGTTTTTCTGGTTGCGTAATTCCCTTTACCCCATGGGTTCCAGTGTAAGAACACTCTAGTCATACTGCTACCAGGTTTTTCTCAACGTGCATTCTATCCATGGCCAGCATTTTTTCCTCATTTCCTGATTCAATGGAATTTGTTAAGTTCTCTCCCAAAGCTTAACATCCTATCTATATCTTCTTGTCATTACTGAAATATAAGACATTCACAAGTGGCCTTTCCTGCTACAGGCCTGCTGCCGGCTTTTCTGCCCACAGTGTCCAGTGTCAATTTACTCTCTATTTTGCTAATATCCTTCTTCATGTTTCCTTATGTCAACCACATCTTTTTCCATCAGCTGTCCACTGGAGAGCATTCCTTGCCAAAGAAACATTCAGCATTATTGTATCATAACATAACAATGCATAACATATAATTACATTATTCTTGAAAAACCTTTCACACTGTCTAAAAATGAACATGAACAACAACCACAGATTTATACCCAAAGCTATGATAAACTGTCCCCATGGATGACATTACCTTAGTATTCTCACCCACTTATTTTAGAAAATTTTCCCAGAAAGACACTGGACACATCAATGAATACAGTAATAGATTTATCTGCCGTAAACACACCGAGCGGCGTGCCAGTGAAAACTTCAGTTAAATTAAAAGTTGCTGTTTCCTGGATACCAAGTGTTTTTAGGGTATATTTCAGTGTCGTCCCTGAGCCGCCGTCGTTCAGGTTTAAGAAAGCCACAGCATAACTGCCAACTGGGGTCACAGGTCGCAGCCAACATTCGATTCCACTGTTCTATAAGTAGAAAAACATACCTTTTAATTCTTTTATTATTTTTGCTGTTTAAACAAACAGAACACACCATTTGCTAAGTTTAACACACTTCAACTTAAACCACTGCAAAATTTACAGACAATGAAACAAACAAACCACTACACTGTTAAACCATAAATTAAACAAACCATAAGTTTTCTTTTTTTAAACCACAAATTAAACAAACCATGGAATGTTTAACAGACAACAAACACAATTAAACATTGTTTAATAAACCACAAACTAAACAAAACTACAAGTTTAATTAACTACATTCTAAAACAAATCATCGAATGTCTAACAGACCATGAACTGAACAACTCATAATTATTTTTTAACCACAAATTGCGTAGCCTGTCACATTGTTTATCAAACCACAAATAGCATAGCCTGTCACACTGTTTATCAAACCACAAATTGCATAGCCTGTCACACTGTTTATCAAACCACAAATTGCATAGCCTGTCACACTGTTTATCAAACCACAAATTGCATAGCCTGTCACACTGTTTATCAAACCACAAATTGCATAGCCTGTCACACTGTTTATCAAACCACAAATTGCATAGCCTGTCACACTGTTTATCAAACCACAAATTGCATAGCCTGTCACACTGTTTATCAAACCACAAATTGCATAGCCTGTCAGACTGTTTATCAAACCACAAATTGCATAGCCTGTCACACTGTTTATCAAACCACAAATTGCATAGCCTGTCAGACTGTTTATCAAACCACAGATTGCATAGCCTGTCACACTGTTTATCAACCCACAAATTGCATAGACTGTCATACTGTTCATCAAACCACAAATTGATCAATTGTTAATCCTGCCCCCCACCTGAGAAAACCCTTTTTCAAGCATGTGTGTGTTTCTGATGACATGAAGTTTTTGGACATTGGCCACTACACCTATAGAACAACTCTTGTACTGGTTAGAACTGTACAGTGTGCAGACATGGTGGGTATGATTACATTTAAGCCCCCCCCCCCCCCCCCCCCCAACCCCATAAAAAAAATTCCACACATTTAGGGTGAACAGAATCTGGTTTTTAAACTGTGACACCTTCCTTATGTCACAAAAATCTCAATATGACATCATCTCTCAACATGGTGATGTCAAGAGAAATATGCTTATCCTGGTCACAGGAAAGAATAAAAAAAGTGATTTCATTGCTCCGTTTGTATTTAGTGATTAATTCCCTTATTACAAAATTATCACTTAATATTTCACTTGTAAAAGTAATAACACAAATTTGTTCACTGATCTGACAGCCGTCACGTCAGATTTATCCTGCTTCTTATTCTCTTCGCCTTGTTTCTTAGAGATGAGTTTCACAGAGAATTATTTTTAAAAAAAAAAAATTTTGGAAAACATAATTATTAAAAATTGTTAAGAGGCAAAAGGGTTAACTGCTTAACAAACTAAAAATTGAACAAACCATCACAGTGTTTGACAGGCCACAGAATGAATAAACTGTTAAATATTTAACAAACCACACACTGAACAAACCTTCACACAGTTTAACAAACCATTACACTGTTTAACAAAACATTGTATGTTTAATAAACCACATAATGAACAAACCTTCACACAGTTAAACAAACCATTACACTGTTTAACAAACCATTACACAGTTAAATAAACCATTACACTGTTTAACAAAACATCACAGGTTTATTAAATCACATAATGAGCAAAGCATCATAGTGTTAAGCAAACCATAAAATGAACCATCATATGTTTAACAAACCACAAACTGAACAAACCATTACAGTGTAGAACAAACCACAAACTGAACAAACCATTACAGTGTAGAACAAACCACAAATTGAACAAACCATTACAGTGTAGAACAAACCACAAACCAAATTGAACAAACCATTACAGTGTAGAACAAACCACAAACCAAACTGAACAAACCATTACAGTGTAGAAAAAAACCACAAACTAAACAAACCATTACAGTGTAGAAGAAACCACAAACTAAACAAACCATTACAATGTAGAACAAACCATAAACTAAACAAACCATTACAGTGTAGAACAAACTACAAACCAAACTGAACAAACCATTACAGTGTAGAACAAACCATAAACTAAATAAACCATTACAGTGTAGAACAAACCATAAACTAAACAAACCATTACAGTGTAGAACAAACCATAAACTAAACAAACCATTACAGTGTAGAACAAACTACAAACCAAACTGAACAAACCATTACAGTGTAGAACAAACCATAAACTAAACAAACCATTACAGTGTAGAACAAACTACAAACCAAACTAAACAAACCATTACAGTGTAGAACAAACTACAAACCAAACTAAACAAACCATTACAGTGTAGAACAAACTACAAACCAAACTGAACAAACCATTACAGTGTAGAACAAACTACAAACCAAACTAAACAAACCATTACAGTGTAGAACAAACTACAAACCAAACTAAACAAACCATTACAGTGTAGAACAAACCATAAACTAAACAAACCATTACAGTGTAGAACAAACCATAAACTAAACAAACCATTACAGTGTAGAACAAACCATAAACTAAACAAACCATTACAGTGTAGAACAAACTACAAACCAAACTGAACAAACCATTACAGTGTAGAACAAACCACAAACTAAACAAACCATTACAGTGTAGAACAAACTACAAACCAAACTGAACAAACCATTACAGTGTAGAACAAACCATAAACTAAACAAACCATTACAGTGTAGAACAAACCATAAACTAAACAAACCATTACAGTGTAGAACAAACTACAAACCAAACTGAACAAACCATTACAGTGTAGAACAAACCACAAACTAAACAAACCATTACAGTGTAGAACAAACTACAAACCAAACTGAACAAACCATTACAGTGTAGAACAAACCATAAACTAAACAAACCATTACAGTGTAGAACAAACCATAAACTAAACAAACCATTACAGTGTAGAACAAACCATAAACTAAACAAACCATTACAGTGTAGAACAACCTACAAACCAAACTGAACAAACCATTACAGTGTAGAACAAACCATAAACTAAACAAACCATTACAGTGTAGAACAAACTACAAACCAAACTAAACAAACCATTACAGTGTAGAACATACTACAAACCAAACTAAACAAACCATTACAGTGTAGAACAAACTACAAACCAAACTAAACAAACCATTACAGTGTAGAACAAACTACAAACCAAACTAAACAAACCATTACAGTGTAGAACAAACTACAAACCAAACTGAACAAACCATTACAGTGTAGAACAAACCATGAACTAAACAAACCATTACAGTGTAGAACAAACCATAAACTAAACAAACCATTACAGTGTAGAACAAACCATAAACTAAACAAACCATTACAGTGTAGAACAAACTACAAACCAAACTGAACAAACCATTACAGTGTAGAACAAACCACAAACTAAACAAACCATTACAGTGTAGAACAAACTACAAACCAAACTGAACAAACCATTACAGTGTAGAACAAACCATAAACTAAACAAACCATTACAATGTAGAACAAACCATAAACTAAACAAACCATTACAGTGTAGAACAAACTACAAACCAAACTGAACAAACCATTACAGTGTAGAACAAACCACAAACTAAACAAACCATTACAGTGTAGAACAAACTACAAACCAAACTGAACAAACCATTACAGTGTAGAACAAACCATAAACTAAACAAACCATTACAGTGTAGAACAAACCATAACCTAAACAAACCATTACAGTGTAGAACAAACCATCAACTAAACAAACCATTACAGTGTAGAACAAACTACAAACCAAACTGAACAAACCATTACAGTGTAGAACAAACTACAAACCAAACTAAACAAACCATTACAGTGTAGAACAAACTACAAACCAAACTAAACAAACCATTACAGTGTAGAACAAACTACAAACCAAACTAAACAAACCATTACAGTGTAGAACAAACTACAAACCAAACTAAACAAACCATTACAGTGTAGAACAAACTACAAACCAAACTGAACAAACCATTACAGTGTAGAACAAACCATAAACTAAACAAACCATTACAGTGTAGAACAAACTACAAACCAAACTAAACAAACCATTACAGTGTAGAACAAACTACAAACCAAACTAAACAAACCATTACAGTGTAGAACAAACTAAAAACCAAACAAACCATTACAGTGTAGAACAAACTACAAACCAAACTAAACAAACCATTACAGTGTAGAACAAACTACAAACCAAACTGAACAAACCATTACAGTGTAGAACAAACCATAAACTAAACAAACCATTACAGTGTAGAACAAACCATAAACTAAACAAACCATTACAGTGTAGAACAAACCATAAACTAAACAAACCATTACAGTGTAGAACAAACTACAAACCAAACTAAACAAACCATTACAGTGTAGAACAAACCACAAACTAAACAAACCATTACAGTGTAGAACAAACTACAAACAAAACTAAACAAACCATTACAGTGTAGAACAAACTATAAACCAAACTAAACAAACCATTACAGTGTAGAACAAACTACAAACCAAACTGAACAAACCATTACAGTGTAGAACAAACCATAAACTAAACAAACCATTACAGTGTAGAACAAACCATAAACTAAACAAACCATTACAGTGTAGAACAAACTACAAACCAAACTAAACAAACCATTACAGTGTAGAACAAACTACAAACCAAACTAAACAAACCATTACAGTGTAGAACAAACCACAAAATGAACAAATCACAAACACCAACTGTACCCCAAACAAGAGACCTACCTTAAACAACCGTTTACCCATGATCCCTAGAGGGTCCTGGTTAATCGCTATTACCCCCTTGTTCAGTATCAGCGCCCTCGACTCGGGGTCAACAGTTCTCAGATCATTAGACAGGAACAGAGGTGCTGCCATTATGGCCCACATCGCCATTTGGGCCTGGGCCTCGGACGGGCTGAGGCCTTTGTTTCCAACAATAATCTGTTAGGAAATATAACGCGTACAATCTTTAACAGTGTCTCTATTAAGGGTAGAGTTTCAAAGAATTATAAGGAAATTATTAAGAAATTTGCAAAAAAGTTGATTAATCTACATTTTCTTCACTTGTTTTTTCAAACATATAAAGCTATATGGAGGGAATAATCAGTTAATATGTACGGAGTAAAGCATTAAACAGGATACATTCCCCAGGGCCTTAAAAACATGTGTACTAAGTGACCCATGCTGTGACCTTTGGTAAAAGGGTTAAGAGTGGCTAGAATTTTGAGTAAAGAACAGCAAAGGCAGGCAAGAGAGAAACAAATGAAAAGTCTTGTCAATCAGCTTAGGACTGCTGTTATTAGCTTTAGGATGCTGATGTATAAATATTATTTTGGGAGGGGTTGTTTGTGGCCCCCCCAGGAGTTGGGGGGGGGGGGTATAGAAGGAAAATGAGCACCTTTGTGTCTGGAGTGCCATACAGATATCCCAACTCATAGCTCACAACTTGACTGGTACCAAACACGACCAGCTACTGCTTCTTGGATCAATCGAAGCATGATGTGTTATTACATCTTTTCTGTTTGGTCTGAGGATTCTGAAGAAATCTGACTAGTCATTGTAACAAACATGTAGGTATACGCCACTTTGTGTCCCTCTGTGCCGCTGGGGTTAGTGAATGCATTACTTAATCCTAAATGTACCAGGATTTAATTTCCATGGCAGAGGATACAGAAGACAACTCTTCTCTAAAGTTTCAGACAGTGAAACAAGAGTCGCATAGTGGAAGATCTTGAAGCTTCCCCATGGCAATTCCAACAGACAGTAGAATCATACATCAACTGCAGCCAACCTCCACTGTTGAGATGGATATATATATATATGTGTGTGTGGGTGGGTGTGTGCATGCATGCATATGCATGCGTGTGTTGTTAGTTGGTGTAAACAATTATTTGGAAGCTGCAGAGGTGTGGCTTTATAGATGAACAATGGTAACAACATAAACATATTTATTGAACAAATTTTTTTTTAAGTGTAATTACCATGTCTTGAAAGAAACTGATCAACAAAGAAAACCGATCACTCACATCAGAAGGAGACAATCTATATTCTTAGACCATTTCATGGGGGGGGGGGGGGGGGGGGACTGGACTGGAGTACATTGTATGTAATAGTGGGAAAGTTGGAGGGGAAAAGATGAAGAGGGGGACCAAATGAGAACACAGATGAGATGAGACAGATTTGCTGATCTTCAGTCAGGTCCGTTATACGGACACAAGAGTGCATGGGCAATCACAGCGTGCTATTTATGCAGAACAGTTCAAAAAGCCAGCGGTGCCTTCTCCATGGCTACCAGCAGCATGACGATGGAGGTGATGGCGGTGACACAGGCTTTTATGTGGCTAGAATCACAGGACTATTCCCGCATGTGTGTGTACTGAGTGATTCTTTAAGTATGATCAGGCGGGTCCAGGCAGGCTTGTTATGCAGACAGGGGCTTGAGTCATTGCAAAACTCTCCTGTGTGTGCAGTTACCTTCATATTTGTCCCAGTGTATGCAGGTGTTGTTGGTAATGAAAGAGCTGACAGGCTGGCAGGTTCCGCATTAATTGCAGATGGCCAGTCTATGTATCATGCAGACACTGTCAATGCCCTTAAAGAGATGTGATGTTCCGAGGATTTTGGAAACAAGATGCCCACTGTTAAGAATACGAGAACAGGGAGTAAAGATAAGCACAGCCAGGCATGAGAAGCACACCGGACAGTAAACAAAGTCTTGTCAACTAGCACAGGACTGGCACTATTAACCACATGACACTGATGAATATGTTGAAGGGGACATCTGAGCACCTATGGATGTGTCCAGAGTGCTGCTGTGAAGATAATATGTGTCATACATAACTGAAAGTACATGCCACAGACAATTTGCACGCATACACAAACTCCCATATGAACCCATATACTGGTTGGGATATTAGAAGATAGAAGATGGAACACCAAGAAGACAATCTGAAACTAGTCTTGACCGCCTGTTATAATGGCACGGAGAAGTGTCAGCACTCTTCTTCTTACTCCATGATATTCTGAGAATCTTTCTATAGCATTCCAGTCCTACTTCAGTACTTCAAGATGGTCCTCAACTCACATCTGTATGTTGCTAAAGGGCAGATGTATGCCCTCAAATTGTTGACCATGACGTGCTTTCTGGTGCTTTCTTTTAATGCTATTTAATTTTTGCATTGCTTCAGGATTTATTGCTTTTGTTACTTTTTGGTGATGGACAGTTTTGCCTGTGGATACTGTTTTTGGTTATCTTCTTACTCCATGATATTCTGAGAATCTTTCTATAGCTTTCGAGTTCTCCTTCAGCACTGCAAGATGGTCCTCGACTCACATCCATATGTTGCTAAAAGGAAGATGCCTGCCCTCAAATTGTTGACTGTGACGTGCTTTCTGGTGCTTAATCAAAGACCTTTAATGCTATTTAATTTTTGCATTTCTTCAGGATTTATTGCTTTTGTTATTTTTTGGTGACGGACAGTTGAGCCTGTGGATACTGTTTTCGGTTTCTTTAAATTTCTTTAAATTCAGTAACAGGTTAATGTCTACCACAAGACAAAACTAAATGGTATGATTGAATCAATAATGTTGAGCTCTGGGAGAGAACTACATAAAGTGGTGTGAATCAACGGGTGAAGAAAAAACTGTCGTGTTGGATAGAACACACGTTAAGTATACCTGAGAACAACATAACAAGAAAGTTTTTCACTGAAACCCAAAGGGGCACAGCAAAAAAAGTCGTCCAAAAAATGTGCAGATGTCGTCGAAAGAATGAAGTTACAAAAACAGGGAGGACATGGGATGAGCTGCACTAACAGCAAAAAAAAGGGTAGGACGGTTGAGAGCTGAGTTGGCCGAGGGCCTCAAAATGGCAGAAAAAGGAGGAGAAAACAAGACAAAATAAAACAGTAACAAATACCATGTCTGGATCATTGAAGTTTCCGGGCCCAGCCACACCACTAAAGTTTCCCTTGTCAGTGCCATAGAACTCAATGATGCTCTGGACACTGCTCCAGGAGTCATCAATGTCGTCAAAATTCCTCCAAATGTTACAGTATTCAGCAATACGGGGATAATCCGGCTGCAAGGAAAACAATTACATAAACTAAGTTACTTGAAGGTCCACTACAGAAAATCACAAACCAAAGCCCAGTATTTACTGGCTGGGTGTTAATTTTACTAGGAAATTCTACGTTCAGTAGTTTGCCATCACTTCCTGAAAAGTGTGATGCACATACAATTATCAAAATCTATGCAAAGCCATCTGTTCCCAAATCACTTGCTGTCAGCCATAAACTTGGTATGTTAGGATTGTTAAACTGTGTTCTTCTTCTCGTTCTTCATGTTCCCCATCTTTAAACTCAAGGGGAAAGTACTTGTTTGTCCATTTCTGGACTTTGGTTTTGTTTAAGAACTTGAGTTTTTGCGTACATATCCATTTTAGCATTGGACTTATCTGTGTGCTGGTTCCTGACCACTCTGGCAAATGTGCCATGATTCTGAAGGAAAAGTCAACATTTTTGTCAGCCAGACCCCTGGTAGTGAAACCTGCTTCGAGGATGACTGTGTAGAGATGTAGATATATTTTTGTCAGTGTCAGCCCTGGTACTCACAGCCCCTGTTCCGGCAGGAAGATGGTGGTGGTGGTGGTGGGGGAGGGTGTGAGGGGGGAGTGGTAAAAAGGGGCAGGGAATAGACCCCCAGCTCCCTAACAAACATGTTGCAAAAGGTGACTAATTAAAGTTTTGCTGAGGCACATATATCACAGCCTAGTTTTAAACCACAACACCACATGCCAACCACCAATCTAAACGGCAAATGCCGAAGAAGAAAAGCATAGCATGTTCAGAAGAAGATTGGAATGCTGTCGCAGTTATACTGAGAGACACTTGATTCTCTTATGCTTTATTTACTGTTACTATTATTATCACTATCTCTCTCCAGTAAATCTTAGGTCAAGTAGACTCGACCCCACTGTCAAGGAGAGTTTACGTTATCTTGCAACTGATTGAGGTAGGAAATCAGAGGGTAAAGGTCACTGACATAAAGTCCAAATCAGCAATTAAGTGTTATACTAATAGTTGCAACCTCAGCATAATAGTGGCTAGTGTACTTGTTCATAAATACAGTTGTCTCAGTTCAATCAATAAAATATAACTAGAATGTCTTTGCACTGGAACCACAGGGAAACTGAAATAAAGGTAAACACACACACAAAACACATGGAAAAGGGAGCTAGAAAGTGCAGTAAAAAAAAGACAGAAATGAAATGGTGTGAGCTATGTGCAATAGCAAAGGATAGGACAACGGCATGAGTTGGTTGAAAGCCTATGCTCCAATGGGGAATAGAAGGCAGAAGAAATACATTAATTCCATCGAGTGGAAAGAAGACCATATTTTATGCTATGTGCATTTACCATTAGAAGGATGACTGGCACACTGCGTTGTGGTTTACAGTTCAGCTGCAATATCCACACCTTTCAGTTCAAAATGATTACTTGCAGAAAACTTTTAATTAACTCTTTGAGTCCCAGGGGCTTAAGCATCACAGGCCCATGGGTTAGTAAATTGAGTCATAAAATTGGCGCATCATGCGTTCATTGGGCTTCTAGGTAGGAACCTATGAACGTATGATGCGTTTCTTGGGACTCAAAGAGTTAATCACCTGTTACTGCTCAGGTGGAGATATGGGGCTTAGGCTTGGGAACACGCTTCATAATTCTGGCAAACCAATAATAGTAAATCTGCCTATTAAAAAAAACACAACCGCCAAAATATGCTGGGATTGGTTATGCAACTTCAGTAATGAATATGCAACTAACTGTTACTGAATATGCAACTAACTGTTACTGAATATGCAACTAACTGTTACTCTGAGATAAACTGTGCATGCTTTCTCAAATGATAATATCAAAGAAAGGAATAGTGCTAAAAGATAAAATAAATCAAGGGCAAATATTTTTTAAAAAAGTCAAGGGTAAGTGTATAAAAAAAAGTCAAGAGTAAATGTATAATAAAAGTCAAGGGCAAATATATAATAAAACGTCAAGGGCAAATATATAATAAAACGTCAAGGGCAAAAAAATAATAAAAAGTCAAGGGCAAATAAATAATAAAAAGTCAAGGGCAAATACATAATAAAAGTCAAGGGCAAATAAATAATAAAAAGTCAAGGGCAAATAAATAATAAAAATTCAAGGGCAAATAAATAATAAAAAGTCAAGGGCAAATAAATAATAAAAAGTCAAGGGCAAATAAATAATAAAAAGTCAAGGGCAAATATATAATAAAAAGTCAAGGGCAAAAAAATAATAAAAAGTCAAGGGCAAATATTTAATAAAAAGTCAAGGGCAAATACATAATAAAAAGTCAAGGGCAAATAAATAATAAAAAGTCAAGGGCAAAAAAATAATAAAAGTCAAGGGCAAATAAATAATAACAAGTCAAGGGCAAATATATAATAAAAAGTCAAGGGCAAATAAATAAAAAAAAGTCAAGGGCAAATATTTAATAAAAAGTCAAAGGCAAATACATTAAAAAAAAAGTCAAGGGCAAATAAATAATAAAACGTTAAGGGAAAATAAATCATAAAACGTCAAGGGCAAATATATAATAAAAGGTCAAGGGCAAATATATAATAAAAAGTCAAGGGCAAATATATAACAGAAAGTCAAGGGCAAATATATAATAACAAGTCAAGGGCAAATATATAACAGAAAGTGAAGGGCAAACACATAATAAAAGTCAAGGGCAAATACATAAAAAAAGTCAAGGGCAAATACATAAAAAAAGACAAAGGGCAAATACATAATAAAAGTCAAGGGTGCATTTTAGGACATGTACAGAAGTTTAAGTATCTAGGTAAATAGGTAACGCCTAATGGAGATTATAACAAAGTTAAAGTACTGAAAAGGACAGGCTGAAACTGCATTTTAAAAAACAAAAGAACACTATGCAATACATCTATGTTGCTTAAGGTTAGACAAATAATTCTCTCACACTATATAATATAGCTAGTTTAACATATTCCTACAAATCTCGGACAATTAACAAACAACTTACTTATTTAGTCGCTCCTCTTCTACCTTGGGGTGTAGAGGTTTGCCAGACAGATCGCCAGACGTCTCTATCTGCAGTTTTCTTTTTGGCTTTGTTCCATTCCAGTCCTCTGTCAGTTAGGGACTGTCGGATGTTGTCTTCCCAGCGCACCCTGGGTCGTCCCGGAGGTCTGGTTCCCTGGTTCTTAGCCTCCCATGCCTGCTATGGTGGCTGATTTTCTCTTATTCGGCATACATGTCTAAGCCATCGTAACTGTGACTGATCCACTCGGGTTTGTAAGGACTGAGTATCAAGATCTTGATGTATTGTCTGATTGTGAACTTTTGTCCTTTCTTGTTACTTGGACCAACTTTCTCATTTCTGAAGCCTGAAGCTGGCTTCTGTGAGCTGTTGTCATTGCCCATGACTCAAACCCATATGTCAGGTTTTAATTAACAAACCAGCCAAACGATTTCTAGAGGCCTCAGAGAGATGGTTTTACAGAGGACTTTAAAACACCATGAACAGCCAAAATTAGCAATCCGCATGTTTTGAAAGAGGTGAGGGCTTTTAGACAACTTATCACAAACATCAACAAGAGACAGTCATGATTTTTGGCATGTTATGAGAAGGAAACTGGAAAATGTTGTGACCACTGAATAGATCTCAGGAAAGATAGAGGAAGATTATGTGAGAAGAATCCTGACAGCCTTTTGTCGTGGCATGGAGGTGTGTCAGCACAGGAAAGCTGATACATGCTGTTGAAGATGGCATGATCGCTCATTACCTCAGCGAATATGCTCAAGAAGATTTAAACAGGATGGACTTGAAGATAGTGGTGTGAGTCTCTGAGGAGGTCCCAGCTGTAAATAATCAGTTTCATTTTTGGACCAAGGCATGCAGGTGTAAGATGAAACTAACAAGCTGATAGGTGTGTGTGGGCAGGGCTATTGTGGAGGGCAGACGAGCAATGGGCTAGGCTGATATAAGAGGTCTGTGTGAATCAGGTGAAATGTGAATCTGCAACCACAATCAGACTGGGTTGGGGGGGGGGGGGGGGGGGGGAAGGGGGTTGAGCATGTCAAAATGGGTGAGGTCAGATAAATGCAATCTGTCTGATTACAAAGAGATATAACAAACTAGCAGAGACCTTGTGTTTTTAGATGCTACATGCTAAACGATATACAGAGGAGAGAGGTTCAACCACTTACAGACTGAATGGTCTAATGTGCAGTAAGGATGGTCTGTCAACTGACTAACTAAATTACTGACTGATTAATTGACTAACTCTGACTGAATTTATTGCCTGGTATATTCCACTATATCACACCAGGTACATACTACAGTAAAAATTAAATAAAGCAAATAAGAGAATCCTCTATAACTGCAGTACAAATTCAACCGCATTCAAAAGCTCCTGCGTGTTTTACCACGGCAACCTCAATGTCAGAACGCTGTCTTTCTGTCTACAAAGTTCAGGACGCAGGTGACAAATCTTGGTTGCTTCAAGAAATATTATTGCTTTGCCACTGGAAGACGTATAAAGAATTCAAAACGCGTTGTCCTTGGTAACAGTGTGTCCAGAGTCCAAAAGATGGCGTCCTAGTGCAGATGGGAGGTCTTAATGACTGATCCCCTGAGTAGTGTTTGTTTAATTGACTGATTAATGACACACACACACAAAAACGTAATGAATGACTAACAGTAAACAGGAATGATGCAGTCCAAAAACTGACAGTATACTCAATTTGATAAGCCAGCCAGCTACAAATTAACAACACTGGAGGTTAACTAACAGGATGACTGACTAATTAACTGACTGATGAACTAACTAAATGTCTAGCTAATTAACACTGTACATGAATGTAGCAATACAAACACTTACAATAGATTCAATTTGATAAGCCGGCCAACTGCAACTGAACAAGATTGGACGTCCAGTACTGTTCAAGAAAGCCTCCATGATAGGATAGGCTGTTGATTGAACAAAGCATGACTGAATCATTATTCTCCCCATGTGGATTACAGGAAAAAGAGAAGGACAGACCCACCGCCGCTTATCAAGCATGTCGCATGGATGACTAATAAACAGTTTGATCAAATCTGATGTGTTAGGCTAAAAAAACGCAGACATAAAAGCCTAGCTGTAAGCCACAATACAACATGCCAACTGTCCTCTTAAGGGTGAGACAAAAGCTGCTGCTGCTACTACTATTACTGCTGCTACTACTACTATTATTATTTCCTGTCATACTAATTTATATTCTTTGCATATATACTCAGTTTGCAGTAAGGCCCGGTTAAGCATGTTTGTGCTGTCTTTAAAGTCAAGACAGGAGACATTATAACTTAACTTCTCACAAGAACAGGCAGGAAATGTACCATGGAATTGCTGCTGCATGACAGCACACACAAGAATGCCCAAAAGTGCAGTAACAACGATATAGTGGTTGCAATTTCATTCTGTGCTTTGAGGTATACTGGCCTCACTGGTACAGACCAGTCAACAATAGCCAGGTGGTTCTGTCAATATCATTTCAGCAGTCTTTACTTCCCATAATAACTCCTGATACTCATGTGTCTTATCATCACTGCTGTTTATCACCTAAACTGACAGTATATACAAAGATGCTAAGCTCAGGCCTTGACAGCAAATTTATCCATGAAATTGCAACAACAACTAACAACAATGGATGAGGAATGTAAAATATGAGAACTGGCACTAAAAAGACATAAGTAATGTCAAAGAAAGAAAGAAGCAGAAACTAAATATAGCACTAGAGTGCAAAGGCTTTAAACAGGCATCTGAGTTAAAATATCTGGGAACAACATTCACTGAAGATGGGAGATCACATGAAGTGCACATCAGATGCAGTATAGCAAACCAAGTATTGGGACAGTTTGTTCCTCCTGTCCTGACCAGCACACACAAAAAAGCATCTCACACAAAGCATATTCATTTCAACCCTATGCTACCAGTGCCAGACATGGTCAGACAACAAAACCATAAAAGAAAATTAGTAACTGTGGAAAAGAGTTGTCTGAGAAGGCTGCAGCAGTGACCAGAAGAGTTAAAATCAGAAGTGAGGTCATAAGGGGAAAAAAGTCGACAGAGAACCGATTCTAAATTACATATAAAGACAGCAAATAAAATGGTCTGACAACTTAGAGAGAATGCCTTGTGACATCATACCATACAGGGCGTATGCAAAAAGAAGAAAAGGGTATTCTGCACAAATAAATTTTTTTGAAACTTCAAACATAGAAGTCACAAACAATAGAATGCACAATTTTTTTATGGCATATTTCATTGTCTCTAGTCGGGTGCATACTAAAGAAACAATTAAATCAAAAAAGACAAATAAGTAAATCCTGTGCTAATAAATGAATCATGTACTATTTATTGTTTGTGTCTTCATTGTCGAAATGTTCAAATGAGAAAAACTGCTTTGATTTATTACTTACCAATAGTAAAATCCTCTGTTCTTGAATAACAACCATCCATTTTAAAAGAATCGATCCCCCAATCAGCAAAAGTCCTAGCATCAAGACTCATGTAGAATTTGCTGCCTGGGTAACCCCCACAGGTTAAAGTACCCATGTCACCATAGATACCCAGTTTCAGGCCTTTAGCATGGACCTGTTTGAGAGAAATCACTAAATCTGGACTAGAACTCAAAAAGTAAAGTAAACACCCCTTTTCATGCCTTTAGGCGCATTGGGCATATGGGAAGAGCACCCCACATTTTTACAGACCAATCGGCACTAGGTAAGTAATGTGGCCAGCCTTACACTAGCCGTCTTTGCTTCCTCAGGACATACATCCTGGTATCCATTTTAGACTGAGTCGACCAGCGATACCCCACACCATGATAAAAATCCACACAGCCAGCAGTGGGTTTCAATCGGGGTACGTTGGAATTACGAGTCTGACTTGCAACGCCTAAGCAATGGATGCCGCAGAACTAAAAAAAAACAATGGGTAAAATATAAAATAATTAATAAATAAAGGTCAGGTCTTGGTCAGATATGACTGAGCTACATATAATAGTAGTCGGCTCTGGGCGCAGGAGCACATCAGACAGGATACTAGCCTTATCCTAGGAAAAGGAAATGCAATCTGCCAAGATCCTGTTATGGCAGAGCGGACCAGGCCTTAGTCTTAGCTGGGGGCTGGTAAAGAAAAGAAGCTCTGACAGGCAGACAGACAGAGCACTGCTCTTCTGATCCAGCAGCCTCTGCAGCATACTTTGTTCCAAATGTATCTGTGTTACTTTTCCTTTTGAGTAAACAAGGCAGGCCAAGAGAGAGAGAGAAACATAATGCATGTGCAACACATGATCTCTACAATACCGCCCAGGCTCTGTGCTAAAGAGAGGAGGAACCTCATCCCCGGCCTTAACTGTATGTGGGTAGGATTGATTGGCGCTGAATGGAAAAAAAAAGCAGAAAGACAGAAGAACATACTAGTCAACCTAAACAATATTTCTTTCAATTCTGATTACTACACTTGAGATATTCCCACATGTACTCTATTCCCATCCTCAGTATCCAACAAGGAGTTCCCAAACTGAAGGTGCCAGATGCAACCTAATTAAAAGTTTGCCAAAAGTGTCTCTTGTGAGTTAAAAATTATCACCGGAGTGAAAAAGTGCATGTAATGAGTTTGACACTTTTTTTTGGCTAATGAAGATATAAGAAGAGGAAAACAAAGTGATAAATTAAAAGGACAAGGCCAGATAAGAGCACAATGTGGAAAGCCAAATGAGAATAGTAAAACAATACAGAACTGGTAGAAACAGAAATGAACAAGCTGATAGGCCTGTGGGCAGGGTTAATCTGGAAGACAGCCAGGCAATAAACAAGACTTAATACTCTAATGCACAAATCAAGTTACGACTTTGAATCTGCAAGCAGGACCAGACTGCAAGAACAACAAGTGAAAGGGGGAGGGGGGGGGGGGGGGTGTACGTACGTACCTGTTCACGTTTCCCGGCCCATCTACACTCTTTTTCAGTCTGATCTAGATGATCTATACTGCTTTTTTCTAAAAGAGTCTCTCATGTGACCTAGGCTTAGGCTGTGGGTAGGGGGGGGGGGGTTTGGTTTAGGGCCAATTCTAGATGTTCTGGGTTCTTTGACAGCTGTGTCGTCGTGCAGTATAGAACATGCGACATCAGCGCTGATGTAAATGGAGGGAAGACAATGTGACACCCCTATGACGTAGAAGTCTGAGAAAGTATGAATGAAAGGTCAGACAGTGTGTAAATGAGTTGTGGGAAAAATGAACAGGACCAAGAGTACTAAGCAGTAATTAAGAAGAATAAGAAACCAACACAGGATTGGTATCATCAGCTGCTACACACTGAGGGATTTACTCAGGAAGGGAGCCAGCATGTACGAACCAGCTCGTTTAATGTTGAATGAGGGTGATTTGTCAACTAACATAGATTTTTTTTTTTAAATCATCCGAATTATCTTCTTCTTCATTTGGCCCTTAAAAGGGCAGCTGGCACATTGTGCTGTGCTTCACAGCTAGGCTGTGATATCTGCTCCTTTAAGTCCAACACATCAAATTTTAGCAACCCCTAATTAGTTATTTAGGTAGTTAAGGTTCTAACATCACTGAGGAGGGGTCACCCCAAAACTGCTCCGTTTCTTTGCCAAAAGAAATGACACAAATTATTCGATTTAGTCTCCTTACATGACATGGTTGTCTAGGTAACTGTGGGCTTACTCTTTTCATTTCCGTTAAAAATGGGGCTTCAGAATCCACACAGATATTCTAAATTATGATTTAATCTAATTTAACATCTGTCACTTACGTAATCTGCCAGAAATTTTATCCCACGTGGGAACCGTTTAGGATCGGCCACCAGTTGCAACGTCTTTGGGTCACGTTCTTTGGAAGCCCAGCAATCATCAATGTTGACATAGACATAGCCAGCCTCCTTGTATCCATCAGCTGCCAGTCGGTCAGCCATGTCCATATACAGCTGCTCACTGTCCAGTGAAAGCAGATGGGCAATTTTAATCCAAGCTACAACAAGCAACATGCATTATGAAACTATCTTTATACACATCCTTTTTCTTTTTCTTCTTTGTAGTAACCGACTGTAAAGTAGTGGTTATTCATACATCTCTGGACACTAGTCTTTTTTCCAGGACTTGAGTATTGTGTACAGATTCAGCTTATTTGGCAGACTGTTGCTTCTCAGCTGATGCACCATGCTTTTAAACACTGATCCTATCTACATCGGCTAGGCCTATTGTTGGCAAGCTGTTTCTGGAGATGTAGAATTAGATGCAAAAGGAGCAGCAGAAGGAGAAAAAATTACAGACAAAGAGGATTTATCAGAAGAAATGGAAATGTTTGTAAGAATTGAAATTTGTCTTCACATGTTTCATCTTTTTCTTCTGCTTTCACCCTCAACTCTTTCTGCACTAAGTAAAGAACCATGACTTGATTTATAACTAATTTAACTCTTCTATGGTACCAAAAGAGTTAAAATGGTGGTTGACATGTTGTGGTTTACAGCTAGCAGGTATCTGTGTCTTTGGCCCAATACATAAAATGTCAGCAAAACTGCATTTGTGTCAAACCTAGAGTCCTGCTATAATTTTTCTCATTAACTTCAGAACATTACAGGAAAAACAACAAATGCTGACATACCTGATGCAGTTCTTTGGGTCAGCAACACAGTTAATGTTACAGCGAAACCTCTGCCAGGACAGCCATCCCATTGGGGGTGTTCTGGCCAAACCATTGTTGAGTGCCAACGTACTGACCACAAGGGTGGCTAAAGTAGCTAGTGCAATGTGGTATACTAATACCATTTTGAAGATTCTGTGTATGTTAAGATAAAAGATGTTTATATTTTTCCTAAACTACACTATTAGCATTAGAGTCGCAATGGTTAAGTGGCGAGATGCTTGGCGTTGGATCCGAAGATTTTGGGTTTAGGTCCTGAGGGAGACGGACTTTTTTTTCTAAAATGACCTTGGCTTCCAGGTCGACCCAGCCTGAAATGGGCACCAGGTGATACTCTGGAAAGTAAAGGCAGCCAGCATGATGTTGACCACAACAACCTCTGAGCGCTGATTGGTCTATACAATATAGGTCTAGATTTATACGCCCCATAGACTGAGGCTGTGGAAAAGGGTCCTCTCTACACTATTAGCATGCAGCCACAGTGGCACAATAGGTTTAAATCTGCAGTGAGGCAGATTATTTATAATTGCCCCAATCTCCTACGTTGGCTCAGCCAAAAATTGGTACTAGGAAATGCTATGGGAAGTAAAGGATGACAGAATGATCTAGACCAGTGTTTCTCAATCTTTTTTACACCCACAGCCCACCACAACAGGGGAAACTGTTTCGTGGCCCACCACAACAGGGGGAAACTATTTCGTGGCCCACCACAACAGGGGAAACTGTTTCGTGGCCCACCACAACAGGGGGAAACTGTTTTGTGGCCCACCACAACAGGGGGAAACTGTTTTGTGGCCCATTACAACAGGGGGAAACTGTTTTGTGGCCCATTACAACAGGGGGAAACTGTTTTGTGGCCCACCACAACAGGGGGAAACTGTTTTGTGGCCCACCACAACAGGGGGAAACTGTTTTGTGGCCCACCACAACAGGGGAAACTGTTTCATGGCCCACCACAACAGGGGGAAACTGTTTTGTGGCCCACCACAACAGGGGGAAACTGTTTCGTGGCCCACCACAACAGGGGAAAACTGTTTTGTGGCCCACCACAACAGGGGGAAACTGTTTTGTGGCCCACCACAACAGAGAGAAACTGTTTTGTGGCAAACCACAACAGAGGGAAACTGTTTTGCGGCCCACCACAACAGGGGGAACTGTTTTGTGGCCCACCACAACAGGGGGAAACTGTTTTGTGGCCCACCACAACAGGGAGAAACTGTTTCGTGGCCCACCACAACAGGGGGGAAACTGTTTTGTGGCCCACTTGACAGCTAACTAAACAAATAAACAAAAACAAATGTAGATAACGGTCATGACAATTATCATCATAAACCACTTCTGCCGTTAAGCGTCGTGGGGAGGAATAATTTGCGATCCAGTGCATGCTGGCTGCCACTGGCTACTGTGGTGCTGTAAAGGCGTAGAGCGTTTTTAATGTTGCTAATTAATATTTTTCACTGCCATCTTCTTGTTCTTGTAGCAGATCTTCTGATATGTAGTGCTTGTGATGGTAGATAGAGTTTAGGTGCTAAATCTGATATCACAGAATTACCATTTTTGGCTTATGTGACATCTTTAGATTTTTACATCTAAGGTTTAATCCTACAGATTACAATACTGGAATAGATAAACTATCTACTGCTCCCTGTTATATGATTAGGTAGAAATATTTATGGCCCTGGTGCTCATTACAAAGTCTTTTCCCCTGCTGGTTCCAGGATCCCACTGTGGGGAAAACAAGAATAGCCCCACTGTCTTCCCAAAAAGCATGTCGTAAGAGTCAACTAATTGGGGGCTTCCTTCAAAGTCAGAGCTTATCTGCCTGAGAGGCAAGAAACCAACAGTCTGCATACAAATAAGCAAGACCTGTAAAACAGATGCACATGCAAAACTCAGGTCCTGGAACAAAGCCAAAGTCCAGAAATGGGTGAACAACCAGATGTTTCCATCGTGGTTTATAGCCAGTGAACGCAAATAACAACACTACAAAGTCTCTGTTACAGTCATCATCATCATCATATCCACTGAAGCATTGTGTAGATAACAGCAGGCAATCTATGACTTGATAAGTTGCAATGGCTACTGTCATTTCATGCCGATTTAGAAGGCCTCTAATGTCATCAATCCATATTTTCTTAGGATAAGGCTATTTAACTGGGGGCCCGTAGAGGCTTTGCAAACGGCCCACAGATCACTGCCAGTTGACTGTATTAATTATCTTTAATGCTGGAACTCAGGCCTATGACCATTCCCATTTTCAAAGTTATGGCCCCTGAGTAAACTTAGTTTCATGGCTCTGTCCTAGTGCGACCTCTTATTATCACATTAGATCCTTTCATGTGTAGTACCTGTGTTGGTAGTTGTTTTGGCTACATTCTAATGAGATAGCCAAACCATCTGATCAGTTGTCAATTAATTTGGTGCGGGGTAATGTTCCCACAGTTTGATAGTATCAGATGGTAATATAAGTGGCTTTCCTCAGGCATCTCATGTCACAAGTGTTAATTTTACACAGGTTAGTCTTTTATAATGTCCAAGTTGGCCCTGGTTAAATAATATAGGTATGTATATGTTGTTTATAATCTGTTTCTTGGAGGTCATACTTGAATGTGGATGCCTTAAAAATAGTGTTAGTTGGTATATAAGTTACTTCTTAAAAGTCCATGCCATGTGGTGTTGATAGTCATGTCTATCCATAACCTTCTGTCTCATGTATTTTTTTAATCAACTTTAAAACTGATGATCTTCCATGCCAAGATATCAAACCATATAGCATGTGTTCTCTTATCTCCCTCTGCCTCTTCTCCAAAAATATTAGTTACAGTGACACTATAAACAAAAATGATATCTAAAAAATGGTGAGTATACACCTGTGGTCACCACCAGTGAAAACGTCCTGAATATTTCTATACTACTACTGCTACTATGTACAAGACAATATGTCAAATAATAATAATAAAATAACCTAATGACAAAAATATAATTATGTGACATAATTTAAAGCAGCAAATGTATGTATACAAAGAATGTATGGCTAATTTTTGAATAACGGTCCCAAATTATCTATGGAGAAAATAAACCCTAACAGGGCCTCAGTCATGTGTCAGTTGCGTACTTTTGTGCACTATACCGGTGCCGCCAAATTGCAAACTTCCGGCAACCTCCGCCAAGTGTCCCCCATGCTGCTCACGCGGCGTGGATTGGGGCTAAACTAGATGGCTAGGACTCACGAGCAAACAGAATAAAGACAGCTGCAGGAAATGCAGTAGCTGCTGCTCGTGGGTCCCAGCCATCTAGTTTAGCCCCAATCCACGCCGCATTAGCGGCGTGGGGGACACTTGGCGGAAGGTACTCTCAGCGGTGGCGGAAGTCGCCGGAAGTGCACAATTTATGTGTTATTGCTCAAACACATTTAACAAGTAACAACATGCAATAAAAAAACTAACTAGAAAGCTAAATGGGAGGGATCTTCTTCATCTTCTGCGTTCAACATCAGTCATGCTACACATTGAGTCCCGTCTGGGTCAAAAATAGGATTGTGCGTTTAAGGTCGCCACCGGTCCCCCATAGCTTCTCTCGCAATGTGGATACCCTGGGCCAGATCCACAGTCTTTGCTGGGAGAGGTAAGGGCAGTACTGCAGTATGTGCTCAGGGGTCTGTCTTTCTGCTCCACAATCACAGGCAGCAGATTCTTTGGCTTTCCTTGCAGTACCGGACGAGGGCTGGACTGCTTAGTTCAGTTTAGTGGGAGTTCTCTCCCTTGGCCGCACTTGAAACAGTGAGCGAAAAAGTCACGAATCAAAGAAGACAGTGAGGTCGATATCAGGGCTGCCAATGCTTGGTTGTGTCCCCCAGATCTGGGTTTTTTTTTGACGTTGAGGGGAAATCTGGGGTTTTTTTTGTGGTTTTTGCCGATCTGTATGCTTTAATGACCGATAAATTTGCGTGGTTAGGGGTAGGGTTAGCGGTATGACTAGGGTTAGGGGTAACGTTAGGGTTACGGTTAGGGTTAGGGGTAGTGTTAGGGGTAGGGTTGGGGTTAGGTTTAGCATTAGATGTGACAATTTTGACGCAGGAGTTCGCTATAATCGCGCACAGTCACATACACACCCAAACAGTCGACGGACTGTGGATGCTACGGACAATTCGCCATTGATTTGGCACTAGCCGCGCGCTATTGCCGTCATATTTGGCAGACTGTCAGTGGCGCCACTCCAACAAGCATCAGATTGTCGGCCAGTATTTGGAACTCCTACGTAAAAATTTTCACATCTAACCCTAACCCTAACTCTACCCCTAACCCTAAACAACCCTACACGCAACAGTATGATGACTACGCAACCCTTCACGCAACCGTATGATGACTACACAACCCTTTACGCAACCGTATGATGACTACGCAACCCTACACGCAACCGTATAATGACAACGCAACCCTACACGCAAGCGTACGCAACCCTACACGCAACCGTATGATGATAGGTAAGTATGTCATTTGTTTCGTGTCTTTTCCGCTCACTGTTTCCAGTGCTGCCAAGGGAGAGAACTCCCACTAAACCAAACTACGCCGTCCAGCCCGCGTCCAGTACTGCAAGGAGAGCCGATTCTTTTATGCCTATCCTGTACAGGTGTGCTCGAAGACCACAGTGTCCTGTCTAAAGTCTAAAAATTGATGTTTGTTCTTTCCTGTTGAGTTTGTTTATGCTGTCACTCTCTTGTCTGTAATCTCTATTCTGCTTTCTCCACTCCCGCTTGAAAGACTGCTTTAGTGCTGTTTTGGTTTCCTTGTAGCTGTGTGGTGGATGAGGTTGTGGAAGATTACTCCCAGCTTTTGCCAACTCATCTGCTCTCTCATTTCCTTGAATACCACAGTGGGCTGGTATCAACTGCAAGACCAGTTCTGCTTCCTTGGAGAGTAAGCCAATGTTGGTCCTTAGATCTGCAATTAGTTTGTCTTGTTGTTTGCTTGATAGTGCTTGGAGAACAGACAATGAGTCACTAAGTATAACAATTGTGTGCCCTCTGTGTTCTTGAGTGATGAGATGTTGGACTGCAGAAAGGAGGGCAGCTGCCTCAGCTCTGAAGTTAGTGCAGATGTCACCTGCTGGTAGAGAGAGAGTTTCT